CTTGGATGCAGCATCTTGGCCTCCCGCCTAACATTGTGCTCCTTTTGGACAATGTTTGGTCCCAGCAGAAACGCATCCTTTGTTACGGCGGGTTTGCTCATGACCAAGCTCAGGATGTCTGTTCTTCGGTTCCCCAAGGGGATGGAATGTCATTGATAGCTATGGTTTCCGTGCTCGTGGTCCCCACGCAAGTCATGCTTCCTGACCACCAAGGCCTCATGATTCGCACTTTCATTGATGACAGGTGTTTTGCGGCTCCTACGCTTCGGCAAGCGCTGCAGGTCTCCTTGAAAACCATGGAAAAGCCACTCACTTTCATAGACGCCGTAAGCACAGGCTGGCCTTCGTCAGCTTTGGTGCCCCCCGGAGAGGGTCACAGTCCAGCCAAAAATTTTAGGATGTCAGCTGCAAGCCATGCAGAAACGGCGCATTTCTGTTGATGAGAAGGCCCGCCTCGAAAAGTCTCGTGACTGCATTCGCAGGGTCAGGTTTCATCCTGTCTTTTCGAGCTTCAAGAAACAGGTCATTACAGGCCAGGCACTGTGCAGGGCCTCTTGGGGCTGGGTGTTCCGTCATCCCAGTTTGCGCGAAGTGCAGAGGGTTCAAGCGTGGGAGTGTGAGTGCTTTTCCGCACCTCAGGGCCATCTTGCGGGGGCATAGTCTCGGCCTGCGGTGTAGGATCCCAGTCCAACTTCCAGGCTGCGCACAGGTGCCGTGCGGGCTGCTGGCTGCCCGGTGGTGGTCTGCAAAGGACCGTAGAGATTCTCGTGAATGCGTAGGGGTTGGCTACGACGAAGCTTTGTGTGCTACTGCGCGTAAATGGGCAGCCGACGATCGGTGCTGCTTCATGCATCTCAATGGCCCCACTGTCTCGCCCGCTGCTTATGACAGGATGTTGCGGCCCGGCGCGAGGTGCAAGATTGCACCTTTTGCGTTGCCTGCGCTTGGGATAAGAGTACCACTCTGCCCAAGGCCCAAGGCCACGATGGACCATTTGCTCTGGGATTGCCGAGGATTTGATACGTAGCGCCGTTCGGTCCTGGGGTCCTTCCTCCGCAGTTTGCTGCTCAGCTCTTTGCTCAGCAAAGAAGATTGGGATGGACTTCGGGTAGTGCCCATGATGTGCAGATTCGCCAGTGGCATTTGTCCGTGCGAAAAAGGATTCTGGAGCTCCGCTATGGTGCATGAGGTTGGATGGCGTCTGCACTTGCCGCTGCCTGGCATGGTTGTCTTGAAGCACCGCTCTGGTGCCTGAGGTTGGCGTCTGCGTGCAGGCGCTTGGCACTACTCCGTCTTCTTCCTCAGGATAGTCGTCACTCAAGTTTCATCATCAACCTACACCCCGTTCGGGTTTTACAATGCTAATCAGGGTGAGGGGAGGCCCCATGATTGCCATGTTCACTGCACCTTAGCATTGTAGTCCAGGTGTGCGTCCAGCCGGTGAGTGCAATCATTGAGGGGGAGCCGGGCACAACCAAAGTTGACCGTTACTAGCTTTTTGTTGAGGCTTTCGGCCCAGTTTGCAGGCCCAGCACACCAGGCCAGCTTCATGATAGACTGTCCCGAACGTGCGTTGGTCCGATTTGGGGGACTCTGCAACCGGAACTCCGACACGGGAAGGCAGAAATCTGGTCGCAAGGATGGGAGCACCAAGAAGCCTGACAAGTAATCTAAATGATTGGGGCCGACATTGTGGTTCCCAAAATGAGGAGATTCCGTGGCTCCAAAACTAGGCCCGCGCCTCGGCCCTTAAACTGGTGACCTTGCTACTGCTGGCATTAGGAAACCCGCCGAGAAAACGTTCCCAGAAACGAAGCCGGAAGTCGTACGGTTTGCTTGCCAGTCCAGTGCCCTGCAGCTGCCCAAGCGTTCTGGACTAGACCAGAAGCTTGCACGTAGCTTGCTGCGACATGAGCGGGGCAAGAAAGCTGATAGCATGCTTATATAGTACCATAGTAGTAGTAGTAGTAGTAGTAGTAGTAGTAGCAGCAGTAGTAGTAGTAGTCGTGGTGGTGGTGGTGGTGGTGGTGGTGGCGGCGGGGGTGGCGGTGGTAGTTGTGGTAATGGTAGTAGTGGTGGTAGTGGTGGTAGTGGTAATGGTGGTAGTAGTTGTAGTGGTAATGGTAGTGGTGGTTTTGGTGGTGGTGGTGGTGGTGGTGGTGGTGCTGGGGTAGTAGTGGTGGCAGTGGTGGTGGTAGTTGTGGTAATGGCAGTAGTGGTGGTAGTGGTAATGGTGGTAGTGGTTGCAGTGGAAATGGTAGTGGTGGTTTTGGTGGTGGTGGTGGTGGTGGTGCTGGGGTAGTAGTGGTGGCAGTAGTGGTGGTAGTTGTGGTAGTGATGGTAGTGGTGGTAGTAGTAGTCGTCGTAGTCGTAATCGTAGTCTTAGTCGTAGTCGTAGTCGTTGTCGTCGTCGTAGTAGTCGTAGTAGTCGTAGTAGTAGTAGTAGTAGTAGTAGCACATCGCCGGGCCGAAAGTTTCGACCCACTTGTGCATCATCTTACAGTCTTACATACAAACTTTTGCGGAGTAGCGGACTACCTCAAAGTGCCGTTTGCCCTACGCAGGCCAGCGGAGTAATTACTACGCCGTTTGGAAAACATTATACTTTTGAGTTCCGGCGGAGGCCCCAAGGCTCACTTGTGTTAGGAGTCTATGGGGAAGAGGGTGGAGGCCCATGTGTTGTAGCATGTTGAAGCTAGTGGGTCGAACTATCGGCCCGGCGCAGTAGTAGTAGTAGTAGTAGTAGTAGTAGTAGTAGGAGTAGTAGTAGTAGTAGTAGTAGTAGTAGTAGTAGTAGTAGTAGTAGTAGTAGTAGTAGTAGTAGTAGTGGTAGGGTTGATGATATAGATCCTGCATTACCTTAACTACCCTAAATTATTGGAATTGTGGTATATTCCTTATTATGGGTAATGAAGGATTTCTATCAGTAGTAGTAGTAGTAGTAGTAGTAGTGGTGGTAGTAGTAGTGGTACTGGTACTGGTAATGGTTCTGGTGCTGGTGCTGGTTCTTAGTACCATTACCGCTACCAGTACCAGTACCACCACCACCACCACCACGACTACTACGACTGTACCACGACTACGACGACGGCGACTACTACTACTACTACTACTGCTACTACTGCTACTACTGCTACTGCTACTGCTACTGCTACTGCTACTGCTACTGCTACTGCTACTGCTACTGCTACTGCTACTGCTTCTGCTTCTGCTTCTGCTTCTGCTTCTGCTTCTGCTTCTGCTGCTGCTACTGCTACTGCTACTGCTACTGCTACTGCTACTGCTACTACTACCACTACTACTCCTACTTCTAGCTCTCGCCCCCCCCTGATCCACCCGAACCTGCTTCTTGCAAACAGCGGATCATGGGAGGTTGGCAGCCTCGGATGCGAAAACCTCGCCAGGCTCCAATTTACCCAAAGTTTGCAAAGCTGGAAGTGCGAAAACATCGCCAGGCTCCAGTTTCCCCCAAATTCCCAAACTGTGAGCAACTACAGCCCCGCACGCCTCATAGATGCCAGGATTTTTGGTTTTTTGGGGAAATTGGAGCCTGGCGATGTTTTGGCACTTCCAGCTTCACAAAGTTTGGGGAAATTCGAGCCTGGCGATGTTTTGGCACTTCCAGCTTCACAAAGTTTGGGGAAATTCAAGTTTGGCGATGTTTTGGCAACTTGGGATTCGAAAACACTGCCAGGCTCGAATCTCCAAGATTCCTGCAACCTGAAATGCAAAAATCATGGAAGAACAGCCGTACCATGTACTCATGCATGAGCCTTCAATTGCTTCAGTTCTCAACTGTGCTCTTGCTTGTTTCATCGAACAAAGTCATAGTTGTTGTTAAGGCCAGCTTTGCGCAATAAAAAAATATTGAAACCTGCCCGTGTTTGTGGATGCTTTATAACGTTTTTTGCGAATGCACATGTTCGTTGAACTGTACATCATGTTAGATACTGTCGAGGTTTTGTTTCTGCATCGAAGTAAGATCTTGCTAACCGTTTAAACTCTTTCCCGTTGCTTGAACAAAGAAGAAGCATTTCTTGTATTTTGTACTACCTCACAAACTAACGAAGCTGATAAGCTCCGATATTTCATATCATTACACATGAGGAGAGTTCCCCAGTAGTACCGTCCTGCCTTATTACTTTGGGGTCCCCTTATTCCTTCAAACTGAATACCAAGAAAAAAGGTACTATAAAGGCGACACTGGGGAACCTGGTAAATGAGCTTTCAATTGCTTCGAATACTGGCGGTACTATATAGCTCTTCTCTCGTGGAGCAAAATCATAACCGAGTCAAGGTCAACCTTGCTCAAAAGGTAATTTCCACCATATCTCGGAGGCTATGAGGAGAGGTCTGGAGCTGTTTCATGCTGTATTCAAAAACGGCAGGAGCTATATCACTCTTGCGAGCAGCGCGGTGCAACGGAGCTCGATTATGTGTTCTGGGCCAGGATCGCCTTGCATTTTTTAATGAGAAACAACAGCAAATGTGTTCAGAAGAATAACGAACGCTTTCCAGATACATGATTGTCTTAATTCCCACGAAGTATAAAGCGTAAGAAGCTCGACATACTCTGCTTGTGACCGAATGTATTTGGAGTTTGGTGGAGTGGCCATTTCTTTCCCTAAACGCTCCGATTTTTGGGCAATGGTATACTGTAAGAGCTCGTTGAGTTCCAGCCACTGAGTTCCAGCGACTGATAAGGGGCTAACGTGGCTTATTGTGTTTCTTTGTGCTGAAACAGAACTTCTAATGACAACACCATCTGACGTGATGAACCTGATTCCCAATTGCAGTGCTAGCTAGCCCCACGTGTTTCGGGGGCCTGCGGCATCGTTTCTGTCAGTGATCCTGCGATTTTCACTGACTGTGTGTTCTGACCCTTGCAATCGTTCCGGTCCGGCTGCATGTTTCAAGCTCAGAAGAATAGAACACAAGTCAGGCTCACAACTGCTGCCAGTTACGCACAGCAGAAGTTACATCAGCGAAGACTTGTGCAGGTCGCCCAGCTTTGGGATCGCATTAACTACCTGGAGAAGCGCTGCAGGAGTCTGAACCTGTTGACGATTTGCTAGAGCGATTCGCTTCCTGCGAAGCATCGTTCGGTCACAAGCCAGCAGGAATTTCCAGAAGAAACTCGATGCACGACCCATCATCTACCAGGCACCGACAGGCCGGAGCCTTCTGCGACATGTTGTGACTGGCGTGTTAGATCCGGGCGGTCCATGCACTACTTAACCCAATCTCAGTCTGTGGTCCAGTGGTCGAGGCACTGGGCCACTGAATCTGGAAAGCGGCAGCGCCGCCTCTGCAGGCCATCAGTTTGAGACTGCACGGTGGGCTCGGCATTAAATGTGAGTTCTGCGAGCAGCGGCCGCTCTGTTTGGCTTGTTATAAGCAATGAATTGGCGTGAGCGGGGCAACAAGTCTTAGTAACCATTGGAAAACCAATGGGATGCTTCATAAGAATCGATTGATTCTGTCGCATGCTGCTTCTTTGTGTGCGCATGTGTGAGTGGACACCTCGTGAGTGTGAGTGTGTGGGCCTGCCCACTAGAAGAAGGAGGTTCGGGCCAGCGAAGCTGCAGATTCCAAGCATCAACGAACTTTCCGCTGACACAACACCATCCCAGACCGGGCACAACAGAAGTACGTACGCAAACACTCATGTACGCGTGTATGTATATGTACGTATTTACGCACGTGTGTATGTACATATATATACATATATATGTATACGTATGCATGTAACATACCTGCATGCATGCCTACACATACATGCATGCATGAAAAATTTGTACACGCGCATAAAGGACATCAAAGGGTGCAGGGGACCCGGGTCTCACTGGCACGTTGAATGAAGCTTGGCTGGGCTTTGTTCTCAAGTAGGCTTCGACCCCAAGCAGCAGAACACCGACCTACACATGGTACCCTGAAAAGTATGGTATCCACTCTTGCACTGCTGAGCTATCATGCACTGCACGTCGTTCAGGCAGTACAAGTAACCAGTACACCCCGACGCAAACACAACTGCCTGTAAGTCTGGTACCAACATATATTTATACATACATACACATGTATAACCATGGCGGGATAGCACAAGGACCACTTCAACAACTCGCCTTCTGATGACTTGTACCCTTGACTGAAGAGGTAAGCCCAATTGGGAGCCGTGGCTGCGTGACGTGCGGTCCTTTGACATGTCTGCCTTCAACTCATTCAACCATGTCTGCATTCAACTCATTCAACCTGCTACAGCATGTCACGCGCGAAGCTTCACGCATGGCCACTGGAAGGTCACGGGGCCAGTGGCGCGGCGGCTGAATTTGCCGCAGGCTTTGCATGGTAATGCGGTGCTCATGTCGGTAATGGCTTCACCATCATGATCACCATCATGATCACCATCATCATCATCATCATCGAAGCCTCCATCGGAGCGTAGCAGATGCGCAGGGCTCGGAACAACGTGTTGCCGCGGTGGCAGCGTGTGGTTCTCGGATACTCGGAGCCTCAAGTGCAGCGGGCTGTACATCGAGTCTCGGGGAAGAGAATACAAACAGCTGAGCCCTGAGACCAGCTGTTTGTTCGTGCAAGTGGCCGAGGCCCCTTTGCCAGGCCATTGAAGCGCTGCTAGCTTAGCTGTGGCTGCTGCAGCTCCAGGCTGCGAGAATGGCGGATGTTGCTTCGAGTCAAACAAATCTGGGACAAGCTGGACTGGAAGACTCAGCTTGGAAGGGCCAAGCCCATGATACGAGGCCTCTGCGCAGCTTCACACAGCGGCTTCTGAGGCCTCGTGTGCCCAGGGCTCAAGGGACATGTTCGAACCTTCAAGCTTCCATCACTTCGCATATTTGCCAGGGTGATAAGTAATTTATGCAGCTGCTACCCCCCTCTCACATTGCAAGCCTCGGTGACTCCCGGTGCTTTCATGACAACCTGGCGATTGAAGGGATGTGATAGAGGGGGATGACGAGTCGAGCAACATAAGACGCATTGGATCGCATTGGCAAGCAAAGACTGCCAAGGCCCCACCTCGGGGCATTTGGCAGGAGTTCGGCTAGATCGGCTAGAGTTGGTTTCAAAGCGGCTGTGCCCGCATTCATCCTGGCTTGTACTCCTAAGACAGCAACATTTGATTTGCCGCCGAGATCTGTGGGGTGGAACAGGCTGTCATTGAATTCCGTGATTCCTAATTAACGGAGTTGGATGCAGGACCCGGGTTCGGGACTTTCAGTGTCACATACAAGAGGGAGGGCGTGGAGGTCAGCGACCCTCTTGTGAAATCTGGGTTCCAATTCAGCCATAAGTTGCGTGACGGGCGGTAGGTGTCCGGAAACAGCTGCAGGTCAAACTCACATTATCTGCGAGCCTCCAGCCAGGCAAGATCGTTGGCTGTGGGTCTTCTATGTTGCCAACTCAGAATCCCGGAAATGCACAGTCCATGTGGCTTCGCGGGATGCCCTGCGTTGAACCACAGAGCCGAACAGACCGCATTTACACAAAGTTGTGGGCTGCCTCGGGCTGCCTCTCATAGCGTAGCATGAGGCACTACTGCTGCTGCAGCGGCTGTCCCAGGGCCTCTTACTCCTGTTGTTGCGGTTGCGGCAGCTTCCTATGATATTGGTGGTGACCGTGCCGATATTGGTGATGATGCTGGCCATGCCTGCTGCTGCCGATGATGATGATGATGATGACGATATTGTGATCATGAGGAACATAACAAAAGGACGATGATCCGCCCGTAGAAGCATCAACACCATGGTTTTGCCTACAAGTCGACAGCTTTGAGAAGCCTCGTTTGCGCGATACCTGTGACGCCAATGCGTGGCTCGCGAAGAAAGCACCGCAGCTCGCAAATGAAATTCAGATCTCAGGCCCATCTGTTGGTCTTGTACGCCATCGCCGCCTCTTGCATTGCAAGAAACTCCAACCCGGCTCGGTGCACAGCATCCTGAAGAGTGAGTGTGCAGGCGAAAGACATGCAGGGAACCGACTGAGAGACTGCTCCGAGTGGCTTGAGACTATTTTGGGATATTTTGGGCGTCTGCACATGACTCCCTCTCCCTCTCCCAAATGTCGAATCTTCTTTTCTGCGCCACCCGTTGACATCGGGGATTGTACATTGTACTGACAGGCTTATCGAGAATCTGGCCCAAGAATTCTCACAGACCTGCGGCCCGGTCTCTGTTTTCCTAATCCAAGTTTGTGTTCCACTTACACATTCAGTGTGCTCTCAAACTTGGGCCGCAATGATCTTGAACAGCCGGCGGCACAAGCAGTTAGAGTTGAAAAGCAGAACTTTGGCCGGTGGCCCGGCCGGGCATGGCCACGCGGACATTAGAACGAACCCTTTCGACTTTGATTCAGATCAAGCGGCACATAGGAGTTTCGAATCTGGGAGAATCAGAAGCACAAGTATGTCACGAGTTGGACCCATCGAACATGTTGATGCTTCGACGTGTGGTCCCTGGAGAGCATGGCTCCGATAGGTCCTCACACCCCAGTTTCAATCCGGTAGTATCTCCCGAGCACGGGATTCCACGTCGCGCTGCCACGGTCCCAAGCAATTCTGATGTGCAAATCATGGAGCTGCCGCAACCATGCCTTGTAACATCCTGCGTTTGCCAGTCTCGAAGAAAGATACATTGCCTTGTCCTTGTCTTTGCTGAGGTTAGCCCTGCAGAATGTGTTGACACACGTTTGAAGCAATTGCAAGCTGCCGCAAGCCCGGACAGTTGCTGACTTGTTGATAGCTGGCCCTGGGGATCGAGAACGCATTTGCAGCGTCTGTGTGCCTGCTCAGCCCGCCGTATGCTAGTCTATTGAAAGTGTGATTGCAACAAGCGAATGTGGCAAGCTTCCCAGCTTAAATCGAACGGCGTCCAGCATGTCACGCTTGAATCAAGCAGCTCCTGTCGCTCTAACGTCAAAATTACAGGTGATTCTTCACCTCGTAGGGTTTTGTAGATCTCTGCCAACATGTCGCCGGAAGCGTTTTCTACGCGGTCTATGTGTGCCGCTCCTGCCAAACTGCGGCCCAAGCCGAGCAAAGCTGCTGTTGCTTACGGACTCCTTTTTGTTCTGAGTTGCAGCTGTATCTCCTCTGCCTGCTTTGCCAGCATGTCGATTGCCCGAACGCCTGGGGTTTCAAAACTCGCACGCCAGATCACCTTTGAGGAAGCCTGGAAGCCGTCTGCTCATTCGCGCTTTTGTTGTCTGATCTATGCCACGCAGAACGGTTGGAAATTGCCCATACTCTTCGAAGAGCTGCAATATCCGTATGATTGGTGTTTGGTGGACTTTGGAAAGAATGAGCAGAGGTCGGCAGAATTCTTGAAGATCAACCCCAACGGACGGATTCCGGCGCTCATTGATCGTGAATGCAACGTTGCTGTGGCAGAGTCTGGCGCCATCTTGGAATACGTTTGTGATACCTTGAAGAGCAACCTGCTTCCTCCGAAGGAAGCAAACCTGGAGAAACATCTGCAATGTAAGCAGTGGCTATACTGGCAAGTCAGTGCTTTGGGACCAATGATGGGCGACTTGGCCTGCTACAGACAATGCCAGCGTGCGTCGCAGCTGGCGCTTTTCATGTCGTGTTGAAGCAGCATATATCACAAGGTAATTGCTCTTGTTATCTAGTTACCTTGCTTTTCCTTTGCGCTACACAGTGAGTCTTCTTACAGCATGTTTTCCCTTCACTGCGAGTGTTGCTCGCAAGAACAAGTTTGCTTAAAACTGCTTCTGGTGGTATCCACCTGCATCTCTGACCCCGAATCTGCTATGCAGTTGCTACTATCACTGGACCGTGCCACGCCTGCCACATACTTATACTGGTAGTAGAGGACTAGTAGAGGACCGCTGCGTTGCAAACTCCAGGCCAATTGCATGCACATGAGAAGGTGCACCAGGAGTTCTAATTGTCCAGCCACCGGTTCAGTAGCACTTGCATGCCACCAACAACTGCCAGGTCAAAGTATGTACTTCAACCGCATTGCGGCAACAAAGGGCGAGAAAGACTCCTTCTCCATCGCCCGGTTTGGCAAAGAAGCAGAACGGTGCTTGCAAATGCTAGATGCTCGTCCGCACTTCCGTTTGCTTTGAGTGTTCATCGCTAACTTGATGGCAGTTGCCAGGCAAGCTTTGATGTCTTGCAGCGCAACTGCTGTTTTGATACGATGACAGTAGTATATATCTTTGTGTTTCTCAGGACGACCAGCTTGCTGAGAGCAAGGGTCCTTTTCTTTTTGGTGACGAGGCACGTCTATCTCGGTTCCGTCACTAGTCTTTTGGTATGATGACGGCTGCTAGAGGTTGTTGCAGTAGTATTGTTGCTGCTACACTGCTTCTGTTGCTGCTGTTGCTGTTCCTGCCGCTACTACAACAACAACAACAACAACTACTACTACTACTACTACTACTACTACTACTACTACTACTTCTGCTACTACTACTACTACTACTACCACTACCACTACTACTACTACTACTACTACTACTACTACTACTACTACTACTACTACTACTACTACTACTACGACTATACTACTACTGCTACTAGTCCTGCTGCTACTACTGCTAGTACTACTACTACTACTACTACTACTTGCTACGGATACTTACTTACTACAACAAACACTATTACTGCTGCTACTGATACTACTGACTATTATACGACGACTACTCTAATACTACTACTATTAATTACTGCCACTACTATACTATACAACTACGTACTACTTTCTACTTTTTTTTTTTTTTACCTTTTTTTTATTTTACCCCCCACCTCCCCTCTTTTCCCCCCTTTGGTCGTCTTTTTTTTTTTTTTGCTTTTTCTCCTTTTTTTTTTATTTTTTTTCCTTCCTCCCTTTCGTTCTGCCCCCCCCCCCCCCCCCCCGCCGGGGCGCGGGCTGCTCTTCTCCCGGGTGCCGCGGTTCCCGCGGGGCCGCTTTTTTTTTTTTCTGTTATAAGAGAGAACGAGAGAGCCAAGAGAGACAGAGAGAGAGAGAGAGGAGAATATATATATTTATATATATAGCCTAGATATATATATATTACTTATATATATATACACACAAATATGTGTGTGTGTGTATTCGATATATATATATATATTATATATATGTATATATATATATATATATATATATATATATATACACACACACATATTTATATGGTGCCGCGCTGCTAGGCCCCCCCACCCCATGGTATCCCCCCCTCCCCCCTGCCCCCCGTGGTTCCCTGTGGTGTGGGTTCCCCCTGCGCCTCACCCCTGGTTGCGGTAGGCTTATTCCACGGTATTGCTGGTTGGGCGTCCGGTTGCTAAGGTTTGGACCTTAGGATGTCTACTTCCTGGTTCTGCTTGACAAGGCCCTGGGCTCTGTAGCTTCGGAGGCCGCACCTCCTAGTGCAAGGACAGTGCCCGGTAGAAATAACTAGGGTGTGCCACCAGCAACGTGACACAGCTCGGAAAGGAAGCGTGCCGGAAGCAGTCTCTTGCTGCTCACTTTTGTTTAGGACAGGAGGATTGTAGGAACATGCTGAACATGCAGCATATGCATATGCTACCGCCCCCTCCTCCAGAAGCCCCTCGAGGCGGCCCCAGGTGTCCACCAGGCGCATCTCCACCGGCTTCCACAAGATCGGCCTCGTCTCGCAAGGATGCTCAGTGAGGGGTCCTGGATAGGGCTTCTTTCTGCTTTTCCGCGGGGGCCCCGGCGAGGTGCTGGCGCTCCTCCGGGGACAAGGCTCAGATGAGCTCGTGTGCACCAGGCCAAACTCAGAGCCATTTTGTGCAAGCCTGGACACTTCTGGTGCATCCTGGTGGCCTGTGTGGCCTGTGTGGCCTGTGGCTGGGAAGAAACCCTTCCCTCGATGGGCGAGCGCCGATCCAGGCCTTCCGGTGCAGCTGAAAGGTAGAGCCTGATGTGCCTGGCCAGGCATCCGCCGAGAATGTGTGCCCTTCACAGGACTCTCCGTGGAAACTCCTGTGGTAGTATCCCTCTGGGAGCTGGGCGCCGCTGTGAAAGGCACTTTGGCTTTCACGTTGGCCATGAAGGCACCTGCACTTTCTGCACCCGACGGCGCTTCACACGTGATTGCGCGAGCATGGAACCGATGACGTCTCGAAGCTCGTCTGGCTGCATGAAGCCTTGGTCCTCATCATACCAGCCACTTTGACAGCGCCAAATTTCTCTGGTCATGCTTCGTCCTTGAGTGCTGACCGGTCCACCTGATGGGCTTGGCTTCAATCGGTGACTTGCCCTTCTTGCCGGCTCTCTCTCTTCCAGCTGAGACACGCCCGGGCTGGCCAAGAACTGGCCAATCTTCGTGTTCACGGCCTGACTCCGTCGAGGAGCGGACCGGAGTTGAACGTCAGGCCAACTTGAGAAACGGACTGCCAAGGGCTGTGTGATGTGAGCCTGTGACAACTGTGACAAGAAACGATCCCAATTTGTGCCCATCAATTGACGGCTCACAGCCAGGCAAGATTCCGGGGCTCTGGCGGTGACATTCGTGATCAGAGCTTCACATGCCGCCTGCCGACTGCCGCATTACGGGCACAGCCTCTGCAAGTTAGAGAGGCTGCCTTCAGCTCGGACTCGATGTCCTTCTTGCTGTCGACCTGAAAAGATTACTCCTCAAAGCCCTACATGTTTGTGGATCCACATTACGATTCGCCATCAATTTGTGTTACACTACGTGAGACCTACAGACTAAGACTAAAACGTACTTACTTCCTTTCCTTACTTACTTGCTTACTTACTTACCGACTGACGGACTACTGGGTCTTAAACCTACCCAGTACTCACTTGCATGCATACATGCGTGCTATGCATACCATACAGTACACTATGTGGCACTCATGAATATCTAGATACACTGCCTATTATACAGATACTTACCTGCATACAATAATCTACCTACATACATGCATGCATGAGTACATGCGTGCATACGTACAGGCTCACCTACTTGGATGAAGGGATGCATATATATACACACACACACACACACTTACTTATGCAATCCTCCCTCTGATTGACTCTTTCTCTGTATATCTTCCTACTTCCGGAGGTGAAGACATGGTAAGTTGGGGTTCTAGGCTTGGCCCCATGCCATGTCAATGCAGAAAACACTTACACAACACTTGCA